CACTTGATCTCTTCGCATCACACCCATTTGAAAACAATCAGCCCTTTATCTCTCTGGGGTGTAGATCACTTCTCTGTCTCACAGCCTGGAAAAATTAGGATATCTTTTTCCTCCTTTGTCTTTTCCAATTCTTCCTATTGTTTCTAGTTTCAAAGTCCATAGGCAACATATTTGCCACGAGTAAGCCATAGGAGTTAGTTTCTTCTTCTAACAGCCTTAAATGCCTTAATTTAATTGCGTCAAGTGGCAGAGATACACATAAGAGAGGATAAATTAACTGTCAACAATAAGTTTCTTTTACAAACACTCTCCTTTAGGAGCTCAGCTGTCTCTGCCTGTTTTCACACTGAGACACACACGTACACATACGCACACAGGAGAAGGGACCAACTGGATTGGTTTGGAGCCACTTCTATGTCTCAAATGAAGAGTGCAGCAGCTACCTAAGATTGCACCTACATACTGTAACTTGAATGGGTTTTTGCACTTTAACGACCTCAAACATCTTGATTTTCTGAAGCGAAGATCCATCTTTCCTGTCACAAGCATTGTCATTTTAGAAGCCCGATCAGACATCTTTGCATGTGATTTACCTTGAGACTATCTTATATTGTAGCTTTTTTAACGAAAGAAAACAAATAAATATACATTTTTGCATTACTAAAACTAGAAATGAAGACAACTGCTGACAAAAATTCACAGTATTCTCTGATAAAAAGGAAGTCTTAACTTTCAGAGCCATGTGTAAGCAGCAGTAGTAACTTTGAATCACATCTTAATTGTAGCTTTGATTTGTAACTTTGAAGTTGACCCTTCTTTCAGGTGGAGGTTGTACCAGATAACCTTCAAAGGTGCTCTCCTGCCTGAATTTTTCTATAGGCATATGGTAGTAGGAATGAGGAGCCACATCTTTGATGAGAACTTTTCACATTGGCTTTTCAAACATCCTTGCCTATTACCATTCATCTTATCTTTGATGTGATACTTGTAGGGGAAAGATCACGTAACTGAGGTCTGTATTTTGACCCTAAGCCAAATACCCCAACTTACTGCCCATAAGTGACGTATGAACAAATCTGTATCTGAAAGGATAAAAATATATTGCTATTCAGTGTAAATAGAAGGAACCACATCAGCTGCAATGATCCTCCACTGCAGCTGCTCCTCCTGTTTTTTCATTGTGTGGAAAGAAATAAGGGAGCAGATCCCAAGGAACATGTTACTTCTAGTGGCAGCGATTTGGCAGTGAGAGCCTGCTTTTATCAACCACAGAGATGTTCAGCGTGTGCCATAGGAATGGAGTCACTAGTAGAAGAATATCCTTATATTTCAAGCCCTCTGGGGAATTCTGCAGGTAGGGGCAATTTAGGACCTGCCTAAGGTTGGACCTTAATGAAACACCATTTGGAAGGGAAATAGAAGGCAAAGTTGCCTTATAGATTAAAAAACTCATCAGGGAATTCAGGCAGGGAATGTGGATTCAAAAGCCTGGTGCAAGCAGAGAAGAGGTTTGTGTGTGACCTTTCAAAATCTCAAGGAGTGTCCCAGCTATAGAGACACATTCACTTTTCTTGCTTAATCTGAAATTTCTTTCCAGCAAAACTGGCACACGTGCATAGTAATAAGCTGTTCTTATTCATCATGTATGAAAAGAGCACGATAGAAACCACTGCAAAGAACATCAGATGAGTTCGTTCAAACTATGCATTTTAGAAAGAATAAATTTATATCCAGAACTCTAAAAATTCACCTATTAAAGTTAGGCCACAAGCATTTAAAGTCAGGAACCTTTTAGCCATGAAGAGCTGATTCTATGTGTCCACCAACTGCCTACTACTAAAATATCAAGAGAGTAGTTCCAAACTAGGATACTCCCTCAGGAAATATTTCAGTGGGAGATGTGAATTGACTGCTGCCAATACCTCTGAGTCAGCCGTAATTCCACATGAATCCTTATCTTTAAGTTCAATATAAATTTACATCTGTCGTCCCAAACTGATCACTGATTTGCAGTTTCTCAGCAATAACACAGGGAGGCTGAAATAATGTTGGCTTTAAGGCTGAAAACCGAGATCCCCTCTCCTTCCTGCGGGCTGGCAGCGGCAACGGCATTGAGACCTGCAGGTCTTGCACAACCTTGGAGTTTCTTGCTCTTGATAGACAAATTAATCAGTATTCCCAGGGTGACTCAGAACCAAGACCAGATAAAAGAGTAACACGGCAATCTTTTTTAACGACTGCAACCGTGCCGTGTGTTTGCAGCGTGGCAGGGACAGCTTTGTGATGTGTATCACAACGTTCGAGATCCAGCTGGGCTGAGGTGCCTGACAGAGAACAAGCCAAACACAGCCACTGGTGCGGGGTCAGAAACAGAACTGCTGGTGAGCGGGAACCCCGGCTTTCAAAGAGCCAGCCGCTGCTCCAACACTCCTTATCGACACGATTCCCTCAGAACTTGTACCTTCTGCATCTTCAGGCGTGGTCACGCACCACACCAAATCACGTTTAGGGTTATTTATGAATTATGCAATGATAAACCTAACGTCTTTTGCCATGTGTTTTGAAACTCAACTCAACGACGGAGCCCTTGGCTCCCCGGCAGGCTCCCCAAAGACCCGGGCGGGGGGCGGGGGGGGGGAGGTTGCAAACAAAGCCGAGTTGCAGTACTTTGCCCCTTCTCCCACACACGCCGAGTGGGGCCGTGGGACCGGTCTCCACCGCCTCGCAGGGCCGACACCACGCTGCTCTCTCCGAGCCCTCACAAAAGCCGGTCCCCAGCCCTGCTTCCCCACGTCCCCCCCGCTGCCAGCGCCCAGAGGCGGCGGTGAGGGGTGCGGGAAATCTCCCCTCGGGGTGGGAAGCGCCGGCTTTCCGGGGGTCGGGAGCCGCTGCCAAGCGACTCCAGTGAGGTTTTTTGGAAAGGGCTCAGCGGGGTCAGGACAGCAATCGCCTGAGGCTCTCCGCACCACCGGGACGGCACCAGGCTCTCTCGGACGGCCGCGCCCGGCGTGCGGGACCGAAGCGGGGCCGGTACCGGTGCTCAAGCCCGGAGGGAGGAGGGCCTTGCCGGCTGTCGGGGGAGGGGTGGGGGGGGGGCCGGTCGCAAAGTTTGCCCGGTGCCGGGGGTGGCCGCGCACGGAAGGCGGAAATCCCCGTCGGGAGGAGGCG